GTAACCAATCTCATGTCATTGTTGCTGTTGCGTCCTCCCCATGCAGATGCTCTTCTCATTCCACTGAGGCTCTGACATCTTCATACTCTTTCCTCATCCCACCTGAGTTCTTTTTTTTTTAAGAGATAGAGGGTCTCACTCTGTCACCTAAGCTGGAGTAGAGTGGCACGATCATGGCTTACTCCTACGGTCAAGGGATCCTCCCACCTCAGCCTCCTGAGTAGCTGAGACTACAGGTGCATGTTGCTGGGCCCGGCTTTTTTTAAAATTTTTGGTAGAGACAGGGTCTTGCTATGTTGACCAGGCTGTTCTTGAACTCCTGGCCTCAAGTGATCCTTCTGCCTGGACTCCCTTAATGCTGAGATTATAGGTATGAGCCACCATGCCTAGCCCCTCCTGAGTTCTGACACCCTCCCTCAGCTACCCCTTTGCATGGATGCCTATCCCAATCTGGTCAGTTCTGACACCCATGCCACGTGACCCTTACAGGCAAAAGCCCTCACCCAGTTTGGACTCTATACTCTCCTAATGTACTCATTCCTTCCTGTGGATACCCTGCTGAAGTTTTGAAATCCTGTGCTAGGTAGCTCACACTCATGGAAGCCCACTTTATCCCACTTAGGTTCTAACTTTACATGCTTAGTTGTCCCATGTACTCTTCCCATTGTAATGCTCTCCTCCTCCTACTGTGGCTCCCATGGTAAACCAGTCTCCATAGTAAGCTCTGACACCTCATGTTAGACTACTCTTCTGCTTAGCTGCCTAGCTGTCCATCTTGCTTTATTCCACCAGATGGCTTTAGTATGGAATTGTTTGGGAAGCTAAGGGTGATGGAAGAGTAAGAAGACCTTGTACTTGTTAAAACAAAAACATTTATTAGTTTGTAATAATAGATTTGGGATCTATCAAATGGGATCATTTGATTGTCTTCTCTAACCTTCCTGAAGGTAGGAACTGTTCCATGGATACAAAATAGGATCCTCAGGATCCAGCCTAAAGTATGTGCTTAAGATTTTATTGAATGAATAGATATTCAGAAAGATTAAGTTCTTTAATTAGGTTGTACAGCTATTAATGTTTTTATGTGTTGAAGGCATGGAATAAATACAATTCTGGCTGGGCATGGTGGCTGATGCCTGTAATCCCAGCACTTTGGGAGGCCAAGCCAAGCCAATCACTGGATGTCAGGAGTTCGAGACCAGCTTGGCCAACATGGTAAAACCCCATCTCTACTAAAAATACAAAACTTAGCCAGGTGTGGTGGTGCGCACCCGTAATCCCAGCTACCTGGGAGGCTGAGGCAAGAATACTTGAACGGGGAGGCAGAGGTTGCGGTGAGTAAAGATCATGCCACTGCACTCCAGCCTTGGCCACAGTGAGACTCCATCTCAAAGTAATAATAAATAAAATAAATACAATTATCTGATTACAGAAATAAATACAAGCATCCTTAGTGCTTTCACATCAGATACTTCTCCTATATAAAAGTTTATGGGGATCATAGTGATGGCAATGGTGGCCCATCTGGAGTAGCTGCTGCAAAGGCACTGGCTGCAGCAGAGGAGGTGCGGCCGTGGCTGCCCATTCCACAGAGCCCGCAGGGAGCCAGGAACAGATGGGAACACCACTCTCTTCTGAGTTGGCAGGGCGGGAGCCCTCCCCTCCTGTTTGCAGCTGCAGTGGGTGCAGTGGACTCGAAGTCCACAGACTGGAGTGAGAAACAGGGCTTTTTCTGGCCCACCCATGGCCGCCCATGGACCAATCAGTGTGCACTTCCTCCCAACTGAGCCCATGAAAAGCCCAACTCCAACAGAAGGTAATACCTGCCAGTGGAACGGAGCTACCCACTGTAGGTCGCCTCCCCGCACAGACCTGAGCAACCCTGTGCTCTCAGAGGCCAGGGAACCTCGCCCCCCAACCCCGCTGCCCCTGAAGGCTCATAAGTACCGGCTCCTGCTTCCTGGCCTCTTCCCGCTCCTGGTGCCTGCTCCGATTTCAGAGCGGAGTTGAGGCCGAGCCTGGGCTTTGTTGCAACCCAGCTGGCTGTGCACCACTTGGGGTGGTGCTGACGTGCCAGCCCTCTGCTGCCTAAACCCCCTCCAGACTTTGGGTGCCAGTGAGCACGGGAAGGAAGCTAAAGCAGGGGCCAAGGATGGGTTGATGTGGGTCTGCAGGCGCCCCTCCCCACGAGCAGCCTGGGCTCTGTGGACGACATGATTGATGGCAGCAGGAGGCAGATAGGCTCCTGGGCAGAAAGGGGCAGGTCCCAGTGAAGCCCCACCCTCAAGCCAGGGAGGGCTTGAAGCATGGGGTCTGGGCTCTCAGTTTCAGGTGGAGTCCACAGAGGGTTGAGAAGTTAGAGGGCTTTTTCTGGTCCATTGGCCGCCCATTGACCAATCAGTATGCACTTCCTCCCTTTATGGGCCCCTGAGCAGCTTGACCCCAACACACGTGGAGATGACCTGCCTGTGGAAAGGAGCTACCCACTGTGGGTCTCCTCTCTGTTGAGAGCTGAACACTTGTTGGGGAGACCTTCCTGTGGAAAGGATCTCCTGAGAGCCATTCTATTGCTCAGTGAAGCCCCTCTCTCTTGCTTATGCTCCAGTTGTCTGAGTACTTCATTCTTCCCGGATGCAAGACAAGAACTGGGGACCCGCTAAATGCTGGGACTGAAAAAGCTGTAACACAGACAGGGCTGAAACATGCTCATCTGCTCCGTATGTTGCCAGTGACAAGGAGGAGAGAAGAGCTGCCCTTTCAGGAGCCCAGACCTAGGGGTCCCCAAGCCAGGGCTGTGACACCCTCTTTGGGACTCAGGTTGTGGTGTCTCCAAGCTTTCAGGCGCCTCTGTGTTCCCCTCATCCAGATGCAGATGCCTCCAGCAGATCTGCGTGTGGTACATCTGATCCAGCCATATCCTCGCTGGGAGCTGGCATCTTTGCCAGGGCCTGGAACTGCCCACCCCACTGCAGCAGCCGGCATCTGCGCCTGTCTCACTGTGAACAGGTGTGGGATCTGGGCCGGTAACACGAGCCAAGCACGGCCTGCCGGGCCAAGTGGGCAGAATGAGCCCAGTGGGCGCAAGCAATACTCAGGCAAACGGTGCCACTGGCCACAGATGTTTCTGGCTGGTGACGTGATACCCCAGAGATCCTGCCACAACAGTTTATTTAGGGAGTTACCCATGTACATGATTATCTTCATTTAATATAAGGCCATACATTATGAGTGCCATATAAAGTTTAATGTGTTAAGTAGTTTAAAAATATCTTTCACTTGGATAACTTTATACTCATTGAGTCATAAAATGTTGGCAAGGAAAGAGGCTCCAGAGATAGTCTAGTTCAGCACAACTAAGCAATACAGAACACACATGTTACTAGTATTCAGGAAGGAGTTGGGATAAGGGAGGTGGAGAACTATGTAAGTAATGGAAGTAAACCTTCCAGGTGATTCTGACTATCTTCTTTCCCTTCCTTCTTCCCTCCCTCTTTCTCTTTCTTCTTCTTCTTCTTTTTTTTTTTTTTTTTTGAGGCACAGTTTCCTTCTATTGCCCAGGTTGGAGTGCTCTCTGCATCTGGAGCCATCTCGGCTCTCTGCAACCTCCACCTTCCAGGTTCAGGTGATTCTTCTGCCTCAGCCTCCTGAGTAGCTGGGATTACAGGTGTGTGCCACTACATCTGGCAAATTATTGTATTTTTAGTAGAGATGGGATTTCACTCTGTTGGCTGGGCTGGTCTTGAAATCCTGATCTCAGGTGATAAGCCTGTCTCAACCTCCCGAAGTGCTGGGATTGCAGGTGTGAGCCACTGCACCTGGCATTCTTGTCTCCTTTCAGAGTGTCCCTCAGTCTATGATTGATCTTGATCTGCACAGCAGCTTAGAGATGCAAGGCAAGGAAAAATTCAACAAATGAGGACACTGAGATCTAGAGCGTCATAGTGGCTTCTTAAGTTTTATCCTTCTTCATCTTTATCATACTCGAGAGACATTTTACCTAAGAATGTGATATTATTTAAATTCTTTTTTGTAATACAGTGTATTTGTCATGGTGGGGATGTGGTAGAGGAAGGTGTGGAAAAACATCCTAAGTACTTGAGAATTAGGCTGTTAGTTTCTTTTTATTGTTTCAGCAGTGCCTAAAAGTAATATGATGAGTTATATTCCAGGGTCTCTCGGTTAGGAGTATTAACTTATTGACAGATAATAGTCCTTTTAGATAGTTGATGAATTAAAAAAAATTACAGATGAAAAATCTGAGAGAGAGAATAATATCTGAAACTCATGCATCTTTAGTGAAAATTACTAGTACTCCTTACCTATGTGTACTTGTTAATATTAGAATCCCACTGAAAAGAACCTTATATCATCAGAATCTTTTTGCTGTGGATATATTGAGTATGCCAACTTACAACTTTTCATGTGATTATTTAATGACTCAGAGTTCTTAAGAAATGATTTTCTTTTTTTATTAAAAAATTTTTTTCCTCTTCATCATCCTCAGAGAAAAGGAAATGACTTTATTTTATTCAAAAGATGAATGTGAGTTATTTCATGTGATATTATGTTTAAATTGGCTGAGTAGAACCTGAAAAATATTTGAAAAATATATGACATATAAATAGGATTCAAAAATTAATAAATTTGCTTTGTTCTTATATTATTCACATTGAGAACCTATATTTTCTAATAGAAAATATATTAAGAGACAAATCTGGAAATATCTTGTTTAATAATTTGTTTCTTTCATTCTCACTCTTCCCCAAGGGAAAACGAGTTCATTTTTTAAATCTAAGAACAAATGTTTGCCTCCCTTGCAGAGGTTGAGGACTAGCTATCAAATATGTAAGGTACCACACAGTCATCTGACACTAGGTGCTCAATAAATTGTACTTTTATGGATTTGTCTAGTCTTTAAACTGTTATCTAAAATATAACCAGAGGTAACTTTAATTTTGCTTTCCTACCAAATTCTCTTTTCTCTTACTCCTTTTCTACAGGTGTATCTACATCAGCAATCAAAATGGCATCAACCAGACTTCCTTCCCCCAAAAGCTTAGTGAGTGCCCCAACTCAGATTCTTGCACAGTTTCCTAAACAACATCAACAGTCTCCTAAGCAGCAGTTATATCAAGTGCAACAGCAGACACAGCAACCAGTGGCCCAGCCTTCTCCAGTATCTCATCAGCAACAGCCTCAGCAGTCTCCTTTGCCACCTGGTATCAAACCTACCATCCAAATCAAACAGGAGTCAGGTAACTGGAAAATGTTTATAAGATATGGTGATTCTTCTTTATTCACCAGTTTTTTGAGTCTTCCAGTTCATGAACATGGCATATCTCTTCATTTATTTGGATCTTTGACTTTTTCATCAGTGTTTTACAGCTTTCAGCATACAAATTCTGTACATGTTTTGTTAGATTTGTACCTAAGCATTTCATTTTCTTGGATTGATTATAATTGGGATTATGATTTCAATTTCAATTTCTACATGTTTTTTGTTAGTATATAAAAATACTTGTTGATCTTGTATCCTTTGACCTTGCTGAATGCACCTAGTTCTCAGTATATTTAAATATATTCCTTGGGATTTTCTGTGTACAACTATGTCATCTGTAAATAGGGACAGTTTTATTTCTTCCTTTCCAATCAGTATGCTGTTTATTTCTTTTTCTTGTTTTATTTTATTGACTAGAATTTTCATAGTTTATTGACTAGAACTTTGAATACTATGCTGAATGAATAAGAGTGAGGGGGCCAGGCACGGTGGCTCACACCTGTAATCCTAGCACTGTGGGAGGCTGAGGCGGATGGATCACAAGGTCAGGAGATCGAGATCATTCTGGCCAACATGATGAAACCCTGTCTCTACTAAAATACAAAAAATTAGCTGGGCATGGTGGTGCATACCTGTAAGTGCCAGCTACTTGGGAGGCTGAGGCAGGGGAATTGCTTGAACCCAGGTGGCAGAGGTTGCAGTGAACTGAGATTGCACCACTGCACTCCAGCCTGGTGAAAGAGTGAGACTCTGTATCAAAAAAAAAAAAAAAAAAAAAAAAAAAGAATGGAGAATTGGACATCTTTGCTCTGTTCCTGATCTTAAAAAGAAAATATTCAGTCTTTCATCATTAAGTATGATGCCAGATGTAGGTTTTTTGTAGATGCTCTTCATCAGGTTGATGGAGTACACTTCTGCTACTAGTTTTTGGGAAGTTTTTATGAATGAGTGGATTTTGTCAAGTGCTTTTTCTGTTCAATTGATATAAGTTTTTTCTTGTTTAGTCTGTTGATATGCTGGATTATATTGATTGATTTTCTGTTAAACCAGCCTTGCTTATTTGAAATAAATCCCACTTGGTCATGATGGATAATTTTTTAAATACATTGCTAGATTCGATTTGTCTCTGTATTCATGAGACAAATTTTGCTGTGTAGTAGTATTCTTATTTTATACTTGCCTTTGGTTTTGGTCAGGATAATACTGGCTTCATAAAATGAGTTTGGAAGTGTTTATTTCTTTTCTATTTTTTTGGAAAAGACTGTGTAAGATTGATGTTAATTTTTTAAATGTTCAGAGGAATTACCTAGTGAAACCATCTGGGCCTGGAGATCTCTGTGTTTGGAAGCTTTTAATTGATGAACTCCATTTCTTTATTAGTTATAGGACTTTTCAGATTTTCTATTTCATCTTGGTTTTGGTAGTTTCTGCTTTTGAGGAATTGATCCATTTCTTCTAAGTTGTCAAATTTATGAGTGCAAATTTGTTTGTAATAGTTTCTTATTATCCTTTTAATGGCTACAGGATCTATATTAATGTCCTGTTTCATTTCTGATGTTGGTGGTTTTTTTCTCTTTTTCTTTGTCAGACTTGCTATTTATTGAACTTAAAACTTTATGGAATTTCTTGAGAACTAGATCTTTGTTTCATTGATTTTCTGTTTGCTTTTCTGTTTTTAATTTCATTATCTTTATTATTTCTGTCCTACTTTCTTTGGGTTTATTTTGCTCTTCTAATTTCTTAAGGTGGGAACTTAGATTATTGATTTAAGACATACTTGCTTTTCTAATTACTTAGCATTCAGTTCCATCTAGGTGAAGGCATTTGTCATAAATTTCTCTCAGCACTGTGTTAGCTGCATTCCACATATTTTAATATGTTGTGTTTTAATTTTATTCAGTTTTTTGTGTTTCTAAGTTTTTCTTCAGACTTCTTTGACCCATGGATTATTTAGAATTGTGTTGCTTAATTTCGAATGGTGATTTTTCTGGGTTGGTTTGTTTGTTTGCTATTAATTTCTAGTTCAATTTCATTATGGTCTGAGAACACACTCTTTATCAGTTCAATTCTTTTACGTTTATTGAGGTGTTTTTTTTTTTTAACCCATGATATGTTCTACTTTGGTGGGTGGTCCATGGTGCTTGACAAATATCTATGCTGCTGATGTTGGGTGAAATATTAGATTCTGTTGGTTGATTATGTTGTTCAATTCTCCTATATCTATGATGAATTTTCTGCATAATAGTTCTATCAGTTGATGAGAGTGGGGTATTAAAAATCCCCAACTAATTTTTGGATTCTAGTACTGCAAAAACAGGTCTCTCAGTTTTTGCTACATATATTGTATTTTGATGTATCTATTGTTTGATGCATACATATTTAGAAACATCATGTAGTCCCGGTATGTTAATCCTGTCTCTTTATGTAGTGTCCCTTTTTTTCTCCAATTCTCTGTTTTTTTTTTTAAATATAAAGGTTGATTTCCCTTTTTACTCCCAATTAATTCTCTATGTTTTTAATATAAAGGTTGATTTTTTTAAATTTCCATTCTTAAAATTTAATTCCAATTTAATTTTTAAAGTCTGCCACATAAACTAAATGAAGGTAACTAGCTGTGTTAGTATATTTAGTGCATGTAATAGAGAACTATATTGATTGGAAGGGGGTGAATTCTATTGCCTTGTAAAGTATATTCTATCTGTAATTAATTTAGCCACTCCTGCTTTCTTTTTATTCATGTTGACATAGTATATCTTTTTCCCATTCTGTTATTTTCAACCTACTTACATTGTTTTATTTGAAGTGAGTTTCTTGTAGACAGCATACACTGTAGTTTTATATTTTTATATCATCTTTGCCAATAACTTTTTTTTTTTTTTTTGAGATGGAGTCTGACTTTGTCACCCAGGCTGGAGTGCGGTGTCGCCATCTGGGCTCCCTGCAACCTCCACCTCCCAGGTTTCAGCTATTCTCCTGCCTCTGTCTTTCAAGTAGGTAGGATTACAGGCACACGCCACCACACCCAGGTAACTTTTATATTTTTAGTAGAGACAGGGTTTTACCATGTTGGCCAGGCTGATCTTGAATGCCTGATCTCAAGTGATCCGCCCACCTCAGCCTCCTAAAGTGCTGGGATTACAAGCATGAGCCACTAATCTTTAACTTTTAAATGATATATTTATATCATTTGCATTTAAGGTAATTGTCGATATGGTAGGGGTTACATGTGCCATTTTATTATTTGTTTCTTTCACTTCTTGTTTTTCTGTTTCTTTTTTTTTTTTGCCTATTTGTGGTTTACTTGAAGAATTCTTGGGGTTTCATTTTGACTTATATACATATATTATTTTAAAGCATAGTGTTTTGTTCAGTTTTCCTAGCATTTGCTTATGGTGTTACAATATACATGTGTTGGCCATGTGAGGCCAAGAGTTTGAGACCCGCCTGGGCAATATAACAAGACCTCTACCCTTTTGTAGAGACTACTTTTTTATCTCTACAAAAAAGTTTAAAAATTAGCCAGGCATGGTGGCATGCACCTGTAGTCCTAGCTCCTTGGGAGGCTGAGCAGGAGTATTGCTTGAGCCCAGAAGTGTGAGGTTGTAGTGAGCTATGATGGTGCTGCTGTACTCCAGCCTGGGAAAGAGAGTAAGAGCCTGTCTCAAAGAAAAAAAAAAGGAAACAAACCCAAAACAACAAAAAACATATACTTGTGTTACCTATCATATTTAACCTGTTCACTGCATATTACTCTATATTTGAAATAATTTTATCTTTCTAGTAAAAAAGAGAGATTTCATCATATCTAATGTTGGTTAACATATAACACTTCCTATTTCTGCAAGGTTCCAGTTTCTAAGGTCTGTATTGGTGGCATTTTTGTGAATCAATTGTTACATTATACTATATTAATTAATTTTAGACAAGGTCTCGCTCTGTCACCCAGGCTAGAGTACAATGGTGTGATCATGGCCCACTGCAGTCTTGAACTCCTAGGCTCAATCAATTTTCTTGCCCCAGCCTCCAGAGCAGCTGGGACTACAAGTGTATGCCGCCACACTCAGCTAATTTTACTACTTTTGTAGAGATAGGGTCTTGCCTTATAGTACAGGCTGTTCTGAACCCTGGCTTTAAGCAGTCTTCTTGCCTTGGCCTCTCAAAGAGCTAGGATTATAGGCATGAGCCACAACACCCAGCCAATTTATTATTTTATTACAGACAGGGTCTTGCTCCGTCACCCAGGCTGAAGTGCAGTGGTATGATGACTATGACCTTGAACTCCCCAGCTAAAGCAATTCTTCCATCTCAGTGTGCCAAAGCACTGAGATTATAGACATGAGCCACTTCACCTGGTCTATATTTTATTTTTTTGAATAGAGAAGGTATTCATTAAAAACTGAACAGTATAAAAAGTTAGAGTGAATAACTTGACCTCTATCTAGTCCTCCCTTGCCATTAAGAAAAACTTAGTTTCTTATATATTTTTAGTCTGTACATATACAAGAAAATTTAAATATGGATTCTTGTACCCCCACTCCTTTACACATTTAAAACATAACACATGCACCTTACTCTCCCTGCCACCTTTAACAATATATCTTAGAGACCTTTTTAATATAGTCAATACATAAAATTAAATTGCTTCTGCATTCTACAGTGATACAGGTATACCTTGTTTTATTACACTTTGCTTTATTGTGCTTCCCAGTACTGTGGTTTTTTGTTTGTTTGTTTTGTTTTTTGTTTTTCGAGATAGAGTCTTGCTCTGTTACCAAGGCTGGAGTGCAGTGGCATGATCTTGGTTCACTGCAACCTCTGCCTTCTGGGTTCAAGCAATTCTCCCTGCCTCAGCCTCCCAAGTAGCTGGGATTAATAGGTACCTGCCACCATGCCCAGCTAATTTTTGTATTTTTAGTAGAGACGGGGTTTCATCATGTTGGCCAGGCTGGTCTTGAACTGCTGATTTCAGGTAATCCG